GCTCAGTAGTAGAATTCATTTTACTGTTTCCTCAAGTTTTGAATATGTTTGAAATATTCCAAAAGAAAAATCCAGACTTGGATGACTCAGCCCTGAGAGGTATGTGGCCATATCCATAAAGCACCTGCTGATAGAGGAAGAGATGAGATGAGGGCAGATTTTTTTGGTCATAAAAAATGGGTTTAGATGGGGCACAGTGGCTCACAACTGTAATCTTAGCACTCTGGGAGGCCAAAGTGGGAGGATCGTTTCAGGTCATGAGTTCAAGACTAGTCTGAGCAAGAATGAGACCCCCATCTCCACAAAAAATAGAAAAATTAGCCAGGCATGGTGATGCACACCTGTAGTCCCAACTACAAGGGAGGCTGAGGGAGGAGGATCGCTCAAGCCCAGGAGTAGTTTGAGGTTGCAGTGAGCTATGATGACACCACTGCACTCTAGCCCCAGGGTGACAGAGTGAGACTGTCTCCAGAAAAAAAATGGGTTTAGATTGAGTTGAAGTTTTTTGCCTACTACACATCATTAGAGGGATTTGTTTTTCATTTATGCATATGTCAAACTACAGTTTTGCTGGGACATAGTGTGATTAGAGGGAAGTAGTAGAAGTTAGGGCTGGATAAATCAAAAAGAGCCATATTAGAAAGGTCTAAATTTCAGGGTGATGAGTTTGTAGGCTAAAAGTTTTTGAGCCAAAGCTTTAGGAAAATTTGGCAATGGTATGTTTGGTGATTAAAGTAGGAAAGGTCTGAGTGAGGGACTGTAGTTAAGGACTGTTTATTACTATAGTTGAGGCCAGTGATCAGGAGGATCTGAACAGGGAAGGAACATAGGCTGGAATTCTGAGTTAGACTTGCCAGCTAAATGGATCTGGGGAGTCAGTCAGCTCTATCTCCAGGATTAAAATGGGGTTACCTGGGAATGGCAAGTTGATTCATAGTAGTGAGAGCAGAGGATGAGACAGTCAAAGAAGGGTTTTAACCACACTGAAAATATAGTGACCAACAAAACATCCAGGTGGTGTGATGTCCAGAGGTTGGGAATGTAGGACTAAGAAGAGAGGAAACCAACCAAAGAAAAAGTTGATAGTTTTTGAAACTATTGGAGTGGCTGTAATTAGCAGGGAGAGAGCAAAAAAGGCTGAAAGAACTAGTGACAGACAAACCTTGATAACATAAGGAGTAGGGGTAGGTCATATAGGTGGAATAAAAGAAACCAGAGGAGAGATGATCAGAATTTAGTACAGTGTCATGGAAACTAAGGAAAAGCAAGTTTTGAAAGAAGAAAAAATATGAGTGAGGATAAAAATATGAGTATGGAGACTACAAAGGAAAAATTTTGTAAAATTTCGTGAAGAATATTTTGTAAATGTACATTTCGCTACAATTTCCCATTTTCCCTGTGTATGGTGACTTTTGGGACACGCCGTATATACAAATAATGGGATACTTCCTCCTCTGAAATAAGATAATAAAAATTATTAGCAGGAAGAAAAGGCAGCTTCTTCTTGATCTTTTTGGTAAATAAGGTGACATCATCTGCAGAGTAAAACAGAGTAGAAAGGGTGGGCTTTCGGGGAACAGGAAAGGTTTGCAGCTAGTGTTTTGGAGACTTAGTTGTTCAGAGAACAATCAAAAGGATGCTAAGCAGCACTGAACACCCTGCTGAAGATGGATAGCATGACTTGCTGCTAGATCCAGGTGGTGAGCTCAGCAGCAGGAAGGGAGAATGGTGGGGCTGGCAAAGCTGGAGATCAAAAAGACCAGGTATATAGTAAAGAGGAAAGGACTAGGACAAGAGAATGAAAAATATTGGTGAGAACATCATTGTAATCTTGAGACTGAGGTTGGGTAGAAAAGCAGGTGGTATCAGGAGACCAAGAGGACCATGAGAAGCAAGGAGGAATGATTGGGCCAGGAAATTGCCAAAAAACGGGTTAAGTTAGCAGACAGGATAATAAGAGGTGAAAAATAGGAGAC